TATATATATATATATATATATATATATATATATATATATACACACACACACAGTATTTACATATATATATTTGTGACAGGGGACATGCTCAGATGGTGGCTCAATAGCAGGAAGGCATTGTAAGGGGATCTCTGAGGGATTGCTGGTCCCTTATTTATTTGCTTACTTCAGCAAGAACACCAGTATATATAGTAGGCTTTTGCTCAACCTGAAAAAAAAGTCCTATAGGTGAAACCTCCAGGTGCTCAGCAAAAATAGTCTGCCTATTACCACCCACAGAGTTTTTAAACTACTCAGCACAGTCTTTCAAGCGCTTCTATAATGGGCCAGGTATTCTGGCAGGTGGACTTGTGGACCAGGGTGGCCAGGCTGGAGACCCACCCAATCTCTTCTGCAGTTTGAACTTCAGGCCCAATGGAGGAGAATTACCTATTTTCCTCACCAGGCTTCCCTGGAGCCCATGACCACCCCAATCCACATTCTAGGCATCAAATATCTCCCATCCACCACCTTTTCTGCCATTTTAGCCCAAACTCTGTCACAATATATATTTGCTCTGGAGTTGTATTGTTCCCCAAGAAAAATTGTAATTACATTTTTTTGGGAGGTTTGTTACGATGTTAAAGTGGAACGGAAAGTATGCATATGGAGGGGGTGAAGAAGAGCACTTATCCTATAAATTAGAGTAACTGGACTAAAGCGGATTAGTACCTGCATAGCGAATCGTAGCAAGCTTGGAAATGAGCTCACTATAGTATGTGTTTTCAAAGTGGCCATCCTAGAAATAAAAACATATGTAGATCAGAGAACATATGATAAATTAAACACCCTAACGACTAAATGAGTTTTCTTTTTTTTTATGCATACACATCAAGTCAGGCATTTCAAATGGAAATAAAACAGTGGACCAAACTGAAAGGGATAAATCTTCAAAGGCCACATAACATCTACTGAGGAGCATACCAACCAAGAAGACTGTAGATTTGACACTGTGATCTTGAGAAATCACCCCCTAAAGTACAACTAGAAACTAATACTTCCAGCAGTGTGGATCTCCTGAGTCCCCCACAGTCCTAACTAGTTCCTCCTGCTGACCTCCATGTTATTACAGGTTACAGTAGTGATGTAGCGGTTATCAGGAAGAACCAGGGAGAGCAGTGGGGGACCCAGGAGACCAACACACCTGAAAGTCTTTGTTTCCCAGTGCACTTCGGAGGGCAATGTTTCAGGTGCTAAAGGCATTTGCAGGAGCGGATAGCAGAAAAGGTGGGAATTCTAAAGGTAAATCCTACCTTATATAGTGGCAGGGTTGTTTTAAAACATTTTTTATAGTATTAAGCTGCAAATTACATAAGTAAGTGTAACTTTTATCATCTGCAGAACAGCTGTGGCCTTGTTCAATTTAATGATTCAGTAAAGGAGTATAGTTTAAAAAAATAGCTTTCCAAATTGTGTACACTTTTTGTAGCCAGGACAAACCTACTGCTAGGCCTGTCTATATTTGTTGGAACCTCCCAGTTGTATACAAATATTTTCTCCCCAATTCATTGGGGTTTTTTGTAACTAAAAATGTACCACTGTTTGAGAAACAGCAAAATATAACTGTTCACTCTGGAAAATAAAAAAAGGAATCTGATTGGCCACTATGGGCAGGTTTTTCATTCTAGTAGAGAACCTTCTTTTCCACATGTTTTATATAACATACCTCATAAAGAAATGCTAGCACAGCTAGGCCTTTAGGCTTATCATTGGCTTCCTCAAAGCTATTGTATAACTCTGAGTTATAGTGCACAATGTGCAGCTGAAATGACAGTTGAAGAGACATTAGTGCTAATTCATTAGCATTAATTGCATGATACACATCAAGAATTATATGTAGAACTCACCTCTGCCATGTACCTCAATCCATCAATAGTATGCTCTGAGCCACTAGTTTCCAGGTCAAGGCCACCCCAATGTAGGTGCATCTGTACCGCAGTGTACACATGGGGGAGCCCTTTTATAATTTTCATTGTGGGTGGGAGTTCTATCTGCACTGAAATAAAGAACAAAACGTAATCTTTTACAGTCTTGGATGTTAGATTATTAATTAGGGCCACCGTCCGAAAGTTAGATGGGGAATCTCTTTTTGAGGCCAAGGTAACTGGGAATGTGGCCCAAAGCCCCCTTAAGAAGTCTCCTCAGCACCGCCTTCCTTTTCTCTTGGCAGGTCTGTCTCAAGGGTAAGGCTACATAAGAAATCCTTTTAGGACCCATTTAAACTCTGTCCTGTGCTCAAAAACATTTCTTTAAGTATAACAAGGAAAGCTCATTCCCCTGTCTCAAAGAACAGGAACAGCACTGCCTTTTGTTGGCAAAGGTGGAAGGCATTTACTTAGTGTATTTCACCCCTTCCATACTAGAAACTAAACATCTATGCATGTAAAAGTGCCTACAGAAATAGATATTCATAAATGCCTAGAACAATGACAATTTTATTGAGTGTAAGCCTTCCCCAACTGCAGCAGACATCTACTGTTTACAATCTTCTTGCTAATGTGTGTTTATCACTCCACAGGCTTAAGCATACACATTCAACCATTGAGAACATGCATGTTTGTATAATGATTTTAGAAAGCTGGTTAAGTCAACTCAACAGATAACAGACCCAGAAGGTAATGAAAATAGTATTGGAAGAATTCATGAATTCTTATAATTGAGCTGGAAAGGTAAGTATGAAAGCAGACCTGTCAGTAAGGCTCCATGAATACAAGGGATACCTGTTAATATGTAAATTAGTTCAGGCAAACAGAATAATTTGTTTTCTCTGACTACCCCAAATTGAAATCTTTCACTAACAGGTTTGCTGTCTGTACCCATTATCACCCTTGACAAATATGACTTTCAGTGGAGATGGAAGAGCAGATTTTTAAAATACTCAGTATACAGTATGTGATGGTTAGAAGAAAAGGGAGTACACAAAGCATCCAAAGCCAGTGTTATATGGATGTTGTTCCTGGAAGTTTGGAACACATACCTATTAATAGCCAGACACCACCTAAAAGACTAATTCAGAGTTCATGCTAATGTCCTACAAAGTCATGTGTGCCCACTGCATATAAGTGTATTGAATTGTTTAGCTCAATGCACTGTATCAAAACAGGTAGACAATTGACAAGCTTATGTCAAGTACCCCATTTCTTTTTTATTTCTTTGTCATAAGTTCGGATACAAACTTTGCATATTCTAAGTGTTTTGAACATATTGCAAATATTGTATATTTATGAACAACTATTTTTGTTTCTGCATTGACAGCTTAATCCTTCTAGTCAATGTTTTACTTTGAGTAGAGTTATCATGCAACCCTTTAAATTTATACCTGACTGTTTGAAAACAGAACCACTTGTACTTTGGCATTATTGTTCCTTTTAAACAAATAGTGTTCCTTTTAAACAAACAGTGAGAGTTTTGTTGTCAGAAGCTTATAGTTTTGGCAGGATTAGACAACTTTGGTACGGCAGGACACAACACTCATTTGGGGGCCACCACCATGGAAAATTTAAATTTATATATTTGTTTTCAGAGGAAAATGTGCCTGTCACACACATGCTGTAGACATTATGAGGTCTTACTTGCCGTATTGCTTTCTAATTTATTTTACACTACTTGGACAGCAGATTGATATAGGCCCTATACTAAATTTATTTAAAAAAATCTGGTGCATGTGTCAGAGTAGCTAATGTGGGACCTGCCTAAGAGAGTAAAGGTCAGTGAACGTGTCACGGTCTGAGAACCAGGGCACTAGGGATCATGAGTTCCGTGTTTTGCAGAGCACTCCAGAATAGGGAACAGGCCAGGTATACAGATCTTGGGGAGTAAGAGGACATTGGGTACTCTAAACACAGGGAACCAGGAGCAGAGTGACTGCACAGTAAATGCTGGAGTGCCAGAGACGCAGGGTCTAAAGAGAGCCTGGTCTTCTCCAGAGCCTCTGATAGTGAGGATGTTGTGTGGCAGGGCAACTCCCAGGTTGCAGCCCTCCAACACACGCATGCAGACACAGACGACAGAAATGCAATGGCAATAACGCAGGGGTCCAAGTAGTACAGCACTGGGGCACTGGATTAGTGTAAAGCAGGACAAGACAGTGCCCAAAAGGTGCAGGAAGGTTGCAGCAGGTGCACAAGGAAAGACATAATACAGGACACACAGGGGAATAGCACACACCAGGAAAGTGCATTGTACAGAGGTTGAGAATGCACAGGGCAGCGCACACAGGAGACATGCATACACAGAGTCAAGATACACAGACAGATACAATAAATGTGCTACACTGAGACATAGGGCACAAGTAATGAGCATAACAAGAGGAACATGCGTTATACAAAGGTACAGGGCAGAGATGCAGAAACACACAAGGACCATGCGTACACAGAAGTAAACTATATTAGGAATATACATGGGGAGGGCCCAAGAAAGGCAGGAGATGATTGCCAGGGAATGAGGATGGGCATACAGGGAGATACCCACAAAGAAGGCAGAGTGCAGGACACGAGGAAGGTACTCACAAGGAGTATGTGGAAACAGGTACACAGAGAAGAATATGAAAATATCACAAGGAACAAAGAACACAACACAAGTGACTCAGAGAGAGCAGGGCAGATAGCTAAAGCAGATACAATAAAGTGAAGGGAGGGCACATGCAAGCAGATAACAATCAGCAGACAGACAGGTATGGCCAATCGAACCTCACAGGTGAATGCACAGCGATCAAGAGGGACAAGAGTAAGCAGGGATCACAAGAAGGGAAGCAGCCAAGCTGGGAATCCACAGGGGGTACATGAAGAATCCAGGGAAACAAGGGATCCAGGAATTTCTACAGAAACTACAAGGGAAACCACTAGCAACACAGGAGGGTTCGGCAGGAGAAAACAGACTTGTTGCTTGAGCCCAGAGCAACAAGTGAGCTGAACCTAAATAGGGCAGGAGGTGAGAATATTGGCTGCAGCCCTGTAAATCCCCATAGGCTGGCAGCCAAGCACCTAGGAGAGAGGAGGAAATCTGACATGGAAACTGGACAAGAGGGAAAATCCGGCATGGATACCAGAACAGTGTGACAGAATGCACCAGGGTGAAGGTGGTGCTTGTCTGTTCACGATTTGACCAAAGTAGAGCACAGGTTTTAACAGCTCTAGGGATGCTGAGTGTATATATCGTATGTTTTAGAGACATCTGAGATAAAAGTCTTATGGACTTTTTTCTTGTCAAGGCTGTGCAGAGGCATTTGGAGGTCTTTGGTGAAGTGTGCTTATCCATGAATAGTAAACTATTAGCCATTTCAAAGTAAAAAATCCCTGCCCATTAACACCTGTATAAACTGACCTTGGTGGTTGCAATTTTTATTTTGCTTGTATTTCTGCAGATTGACTCCAGAGGTCTTCAGCTGCCATATAAGCTGTGCAGGACTTCTGTTGTGTTCCTGGAACTTTAAGAAATAATGGGCTACCTCCAAGGCATGCCTGCCCTCAATTTATTTGATGTTACATATGTACCGAAATAGGAGCTCTGGGACTGGAGTTAGGGAGCACAGTTTACAGAGGTGCCTTGGTGCATATGGCATATGGCGTCAAAACTATTTGCAAATGTATAGAAAAAACATTTTGGTATTGTATTGTTTAACTGCCCTGCCCATGTGGACCTTACTTATGCTAGGTATAAACTGATCAGAGAAGTTACACTTTTTGCTAATAACAAAGTAGGATGCTTGCAGTTATCAAGCTCTAAGACCAGAAAGGGTGCCATAAAAAAGAATTTGATCAATAACTGGCAGGGTAGATATAGCAGCATAAGTGGGTGGTACATGAAGTAGATATTACTAGAACAGATGATTTCAAGACACTGTGAATGCTGTGCTGGTGGGACATGGCTGACTATACTTTGGCAAACATACAGTAGCTATAGACAGAAGAAGCCTAAATCATATATCGATTTGACATTTTTTTGGCTTACTCAATAAAGACGAAGATGAAAGTGTAGTCATCCATCACAATAGTAAACTCTAATGAAAAATATATTTTGTACACTGCTCTTCGTCTCATTGGAGCAACATGTTTGGGCTCCTTTGGTGAACTTTAGTTGCTGACTTACCTGAATGACCATTATTGGAGATCTTGAAGTGTCCACTCATTGGTCCTTCATACCCTTCAAGTTCAAATACAGACATTTTGCTGTTGTATGCAACTTTCTTTTTTTGGATGTCGACGGGAGATTGATGGTTTGAGTCACATAGCAGATACTTTTTCCCCCAATTTGCTTCATCCAGCTCTCCTTCTGTCAATGGTGTATAATACAGTCAGTTAAGGAGCATCACCCCTATTTATGTTCAGTGGAATTTCAAGCATAATATGATAAATAGCTGGACTTTAATATTCTACCGTAAGAGCTGTTTGCCTCAGTATTACCTGCTAAGTGTTCAGCTAACAACAACAAGTTGCCTTCCTCAATTCCTATGAATTAGTTTAAACCGGTTATAGAAAGGCAACATTTGCAAATTCAGAGTTTAAAGGAAGTTCATACTGAGATATTATAGAAGCTGTTCTGTCTTTCATGCTAGCTTTAAAATTTTCTGTGGCACCTGGAACAAATATGCAATTCAGGATCTCTGACTGCACTTGGACTTTTGCTATATGCATGTTTGTACGGGTCAGTGACTTAGGAAGCACTGAAGCCAGAAACAGCCAGGAAGCTAGCATTTTATACCAGTTTGTAATTCCTTCAGTGCAGGCTTCCTTTAAGCTGCAATACAATGTCACATAAGAGTAATTTTTTCATGATTTTGCCAACATCATAATTATTTTGAATCCAATTTTAAAAAGCTAGGAGTTTCAATTCTGCTGTTTGCTGAGCACACAAAGGCATTCACCTGAGTAATAAGTACCTGCTATATGCAGTACAATGGACTCCCATAAACATTACTCATTTAATGTCCAACTCCAGCATAAAGCTTTTTGTGTCTTGTTTTGGAAAGATCGAAAAAGGGCCATTGGAATGCTTTACCCTCATATTCTTTCATGGTGACAGGGTGTCCCATATAAAGGTTATAATGGTTATAATCTCTGTATTTGAATCTCTGTCAAGTTTTGATTGCAGTCTGTGTCCTCCTGTCCTGATGTGTACCCCCAATTTCTTCTTCTGGTGCAAAAGACACTGAAGTAAGGGGAAATTTTGTTAATAGGGTCACATACCACAATTCCAACTTGACAGAGATTCTGACCCATACCTAATGTATCCCACAAAAAATGTCTTTAATGTGATTACTTAAAAAAGACAACATGCTTTAAAGGTCAGTTCCCTTTTCATAGGTCAGTATGACCCAACAGTCATTTTTTTTATTATAGGTGTAGTCTGCTGGATTTTGTCATCCCTTATATCTTGTATTTCATAAGAACTTCAGTGGTATGATGACCCTACCGTGGTTTCTGGTTCTATTGCCAACCTTTTTTGTGGTGCTGGCTGTTTTCCCACCTTGTTTTGCATTCTCCATAATGTAAAAACAATTTATAGACCACCGGTAAGGTATATGATTCTTGTATAATGACTACAAGAGGAGAGCAGACTTGGGAAACAAAGATTTTGCCAAAAGAGTCCGTGAAAACTATAGGAATTTTTTTATAGTAGAACTATGGCCTCCAATTTTAAAAAAACTAAACGCGTAATTATTTCTTATTTCCTAGCAATACCTGTTAATCCTGTGAAGTCCACCCAATGAGGCCTCCTGTGATGGTGTGGAAACTATGCTGCACTGCTCCTGCATTCAGAGCAGAGTTGCCACTCTCATGTAGGCTGTGCTTGCTTGCACTACATATGAAAAAATATTGCATTGACTCTCCCAGATCCCATGCATTAGCAACACACTGCTTCCACCATTCTTGTTCATGTGATGCCATTGTTATGGAAATGGTGTCAGTGCATCAGCACATGTCTATTGCTATTGCTTCTGCTTGGACCCATTGGCATCCTCCATAACTATTGTATCCTCAAGACCTTGGGTCTTTGCTGCACAACTTTTCATGGTACCATTCCAAGACTTTTGTGCTGAGAACTTACATGAAACCCAGGCTTTTGTGCTGTTTTTTCACTTTACACAATGTATACAATGTTTTTAGCTTAATAGAGAATACTTGATGCGGTTTGGGGACATGGACATTTGATGTGGTAATTTTTTGGAATTATATTGTAGCTGCCATGTTATATCGGCATGCTTTGTAAACTAGTTGTTGATTCATATTGTGTTTGCACAACTAGATCTTTCTCTTTCATACCCCATCATATTTCTTTATTTCTAGAACCTATGTTCAATTTGTTTTTGAGAAATAAGGAGAGTGATCTGATATAGTAAAATATGATACACTTTTTGCAATTTAACAGTTCATTAATTCCTGTTTGATATGTTTTAATATATTACAGTAACTTACCAACACTTAAAGTGCTCATACACAGTTCAATGTACACAACTGTTTCAATATTCCAGTGGGGCTGTGTGTTAAAAGCTTTCAAATGCATTTTTAATTTTTTTTGAGATCATATAAAAAAGAAGTGATTCCAAATGCCTGAAAATTGTTTGTCAATTTTCAACAGGGTTATAACATGGGTGACAAACTGAACCTTTTATTTTGTTTGGTGTTGAAAACTTTACAGCAAGTGGATAAAATATCTATTAAATGGACACTTATTGGAAATTATTATTTCCAGTGGGTTGAATAGCAAGATATCAGCAAACAGAAGTATTGTAGAAAGTATATTAATTGAAATTAATACTTCCAAATATAATTTTAAAAAGTACCAAAAAAAGTAAAATTGGCGTGTGCCTGTGGTCAGATTTAGATCCAGCAAGTATAGATAGGCTCAACAGTAACCAATGCTGGCTTTTTTTTAAACAAACAGTCACAAAACATGATCACCCAAACGTGCAGGTTGATGTTAAAGGGTTGTGGCCAAATACCTCAAATATTGTTTATATGGCAGTAATTCATATTCATGGCTATAGGCAAAGCAGCAAAAAATAAATCAAAGGCAAATTAGATAGGACATTGTATCATTATTTGTCATCAATATTCTACAAACTTGGTATATAAATCCTAGAATATTCTGTTCTTTTCTGTTCTAACCAACCCCAAATGACAGAGCTGTCAGTTAAATATCAATGTTTTCCAAAACCTCATACTAATAATTCCCATACTAATAAAATGCTATTGGTTTACTAGTTATCATGACATAAATACAATTGTGAAAGAAATACTATAGAAAGACAATGTTACATTTTGATATAGTTACTCTATAAATAGATACCACAAAGGTTGCAGACCTATTTGTGTTAGTCTCATACTTGTCCTACCTTGGTATGTCCATTCCACCACATGGGAGTGACATTGCAAACAGAGAGAGAGAAGTAGACAGAGGCTCAGCTGCATGGAGCACCTCATGGCTGGTGTAGAGTGTGTGTCTTGTAGGACGGTGATCTGCATTATAATCTACAGCCCTGTATGTGTAAATAACAATTTAAAAGTCTGTGAAAGACGTTTCTCCCTCCCACTCAACAAACAGGCCAGTCCCCCCACCCTCTCCGCTCTTCTATTTAACTAGAGGAAAGAGAGTCCATAAGAATTGCAGAGCTGCCCATAAGAGGCTTTTATTGATTGACACACAGAAGCTGGTTATGTTATATCAGCCTGGTTTGTGGAGTTGGTGTCATTACCCCACCCCGTGCTGTGTTATTAATCTACCCGGGAATCACTGGTTTAGTGCCTCTTTTCACTTTGTGTGCAAAGCTCCAAGCTCAAACCCCAAATCTGGCAACCTGTTACTACAACAATTACTGGAATTAACTAAAATAGAACTACCAGAGCAAAATGTGCCTGGGACACTATATTGAAAGATGTGTAGTTGTGAGATCAGGGAGTCAATATAATGTAGGCATTGCTGTAGAAACTTATGTTAGCTTTGTATACACATGAATGATAAAAGTGGGAAGTGGGATGAGCATTCCGGTCATCTGATTCAAAAGACATGTTTTTATTTCCCTAAAATTATTGTGCAAATTGGAAGGTTTCAGCAATATGTTGGCATTTTGGATATGGAGAAATAAGACTGTATTTGGTGGTTTTCAAGAGTGCTATGGGCTTTAAATGCCCCCTTCTGTGCCTGTTCTTGTGCCAAAAAAAATCCTCATTATCCTTTTATTTATATTTTTTTCACAGAATGAAAAATAAATTAGAAGAAAAAAGATAAAATAAAAAAATTGATGCAACAATACACAAAAAACAATCAAATACACAACAAAAACTGTAAAGAAAGATACATTAAACTTAACTACCCTAAATGCACCTTCTCAAAATATTCCCTCTAAATATTGAAAAAAGAGTATATTGAATTTTTATTTTCAAGGAAATTTAATAAGCAGTTTGGTGAACAAAATTGAGAGTTTCTGCTTGGTAACGTTTCTCAGATAGCAAAACTGCTAATCTTGCAGTGAAATCAGTTTAACTGGAATCGCTTCTAGTGTACTTTTCTATGAAGTGAACATTTTAAGATAAGGAATTTATTAGTTTTGACTTAACGGGAAGCTTGTACTGAAGAATTATGTATGCTGTGGAAGCTGACCTCTACTTCTGAAAATACTAGTTGTCTGGTTGTCATATTGATCCAGAGGCTTCAAGACTTTCTAAGTCACTGGGGTTGATTTACTAACCTTATAAACACACCACGAACATGTATACAACTCTGTAGTGTGTTCCCTCCCAGCATGATCTATGGGTGGAATCTAAACACCTTTGTAGTGTGTACACACCCAGCAGGTGTGTTCTGCAAAGCCAAACATGAATTGCAAGGTGATGTTGTGTAAATTAGCTCTATGTTGTGTTGCTTGCGTTGATGAATGCAGGAATGTAAATGCATGAGCTAACCATTTTTGGATCAACTGTGATGCAGCATTATATATGCATCATGTGCATGATTTTTCCATACATGGCATTAGTGGAAATATGCTTTTAGAGACTTTTTGGTTGATAAATAAGTTTTGATGTGTGAAAATCACACGCACCTGGTGCGTGCGTGTGTTTAGGTTAGTAAATCACCCCCACTGACTCAAGAAGAACAAGTTGGTAGGTGAGGCTCTGAAGGCTTTTCATCAATGTCTCAAAGAATTGCAGCCAGACACAGCCACTCAACTAGAATTTTTAGAAGGGGATTAGCAGTAGCAGCCTCCATATATCTCTTGAAGAAGTAGAAATGAAGTGCTGGATTCACTTATCAGAAGATCGGTCAGATCGTGATAAGGCCCATTGGCTTTTGTGAGGCCACTCTTGACAAAAACGGGGCATCCCTCAAAAAAGGGGAACAGATTTGAAGATTGTCATGTTTAAAGAGAGCACCAAACAAACAGTCTGAGAGTCCAAGAACTTTTAATACTAGTATTGGTTCAAAAACCTTCTTCAGGGATTAAACATAATAGGTAATCTTAAGGACTGAAAGTTGGGACAAATCAGCAGGAGTTAATTTGCTGTAATGGGGTTTAGCCAAATTCAACAAATCAGCAAAACTTTTCCCATTCTAAATGCAGCAAGTTTAAATAGTACATGCCCTCTGAGACCCCGAACAGCCTCCTGGGACCACGCACAACCCTCCTGAGATCCTCTACTGGAGACATCAGGCCAGCACCCCGGAGCAGCACAGAGTATGTGGCTTCATATTGAGAATTTGTTTTTAAAATTTGTAAAGTTTTTCGGGGGGGCAAAGGAGGGTGCAAGTAACTGGTCTTGCCTAGGGCACAAAATAATCTAGCACCAGCCCTGCGTGTAATAGAGTTCAGCTTAATGCAATTTATATTATAATTATAATATGTGTTTCTGTTTTTGAAAAAGTGTTGTTTGTATGTATAGTTGGTAATTATATGTGTACATAGGGACCATCATATTTGCTCATTACACTCACAGGCTCTCCTGCTTTGCAGTGCTGCAAGGTGGTTGTGCTTTACTGCTTATTTTCACAATGGAAGCTTACGAATTGGCTTGGCTCACTGAATAGAATAAACTTCCTATGGGAAAGATAATTTTAACAGTTGTCAGTGTCAGTGGTTACCTTTGACCTGAAAGTGGAAGGAACTCCACCTCCTATTGGCCGCTGAACACCACATACTGCGACCATGAGTTGGTGGGTCATTCTAAGCCGATTCCAGGCTCCCACCTTACAGCTGAAACCCCAACTGCTGACCACGACTGGAGGCCTAATTCAGACTGGATAAGGGACATGATAAGCACTTTAATTATTTATGGTTTCAAACGCTTTCTTACACTTAATTTAAAGTTGTTTACTACATAATGGGGCCCGCAACCCTGGCCCGGTGGTTGTAGGTAGGGGGGCTTATCTGAATCAGGATGTCCCCTCTTAAAAAGTGGGCACCCAGATCCCCCCCCCACCCCCATGAATCAGTAAGGGGTAGTTGTTACCCCTACTCATTCACTAAAAAAACATTAAGATAGTAAATAAACACACCACACAGCTTTGACAAGTCCTTTATTAATAAAACCCCCTACCTGAAAAATGCCTCATGATGTAAATCCATCATCAATCACATGATCCAGCGATGTAGATCCTTGTCAATCACGATGCCCGCTGCTAGCCGACACAACAAAAGAAAATATCCCCATCGCCCGCTGACTCGTCTGCTCTCCCCTTCCCGAACACTCGCCACTAATGACAACTCCACCCCTGAATGTAAACAAATGGGGGGGAGCAAGTCTGTGATGTCATTGTGACGTGGAAGTAAAGTTGTTGAAAAAAATTACCTATTGGCAGCTTTAGTTTTTTTTTTTTAAGAGCCCGTGGACGTGCATCATAAAACAAACTTCCCCCTGTGAACAAAAAAAGTGAACCGTGAAATCACAGCACACAAAAACGTGCACAAGGGTGCTTAGTCCTTCAATGAAGAAGGGACCTCGAATTCCCGACCCCCCGGGGCGCAAGGCTCCTGACAGGGGCTGAGATACTTTGGTCCACCAGCCCGGAGACTGGCGGACCCCGATCCTTCGGGAACCTGCCGAAACAGGTCCCACCAAGTACTAGGTAGGGAGCTCTCCCGAAAAGAGACTCCCTGGGTCGGGAGGAGGCAGAGAACCCTATATTAGGGCACAGAACCTCCTCCCCTGCATCGGGAATAGGCCCCGAAGGTACCTGCACCCTAGCACTCTGTGGGTCAAAATTTACAAAAACACAAAAATGTGCCAATCGTGCATGAGGTGCAATAAATAAAGGAATAGTGCCAGTGCACCACGCTGACAGGCCCTAGGGGCCGGGTGCTAAAAAATTGCCCCGGACTAGCCATAAGGCCTGTCCAAGAGGCGTTGTGCAGAAATTGCAAGGTGGTGTGTGACCAAGTGCACAGTGAGTCAAAGTGGGTCTCCCACACCCAAGTGACTTTCTGAGCACCCCTGGGACGCCACCCCCAGGGGGCACAACACCACGGGCTCTGCCGCCTCCCAACCCTCTAGCCTCGACCAAGCTTCGCAGCCATTCCCATCAGAAGGTAGTGCCGTCAGGGGTCCATCCCTACCACCGGTGACAAGCCCAGCATCACTGGGCCAGAATCTAACCAGGAGGGACTGTACCCCATCTGACACCCACCAATTACGCCGGTAAATACTAAGCCACCATCCTAATCACCTCGAGAAGGAGTGGTGTCGTTCTTCCACCGGCAACTGATAAGAACAGAT